TTTCTCTTTCCCAGGGTGTAGTGATCGTCAGTCCTGACCGAACACACGATGTCTACGGCATCCACTCCAGTTGTCATCTTTACAACTCAACAATGCGCATTCATTGGTCAGGTTTTCAGGACACCGAGTCTAGCATCACTGGATTCCGAGTCGCAATTGGCAGACAACCAAATTCCACAAACGTTTTATCATTTGTGGACGTTGGAATAAACACTGGGTATACCGTAGATATAGGCAAAGCTCAGAACGTGTTTTCTGATGACATTGTATATGTGATGGTCGAGGCAACTAATGCAGSAGGCCTGGTCACCAAGGCGGTATCGGCGCCCACGAGACTTGTGTCAGCGGASAGTGACCTATACCAAGTGGAAGGAGATTTCTTCTGCTTGGATGTTTGATAGAGGATTCATTTGTATATAAATCATGCATACACACGCAAACGACGAAGCTTTAGAAACCTTAGTATGGACACATGACAACAGGCTTATTACCAGGCTCAGTAATTGTCTGGTTGGRATACCTGTGTTACGATTCTTCTTTCTTCAGCCTGGTAAGCCCGAGCATGACGTAGGACTACACCAGGGGAAAACAGCTACGCATGGTAACAAACCGTTATTTTGAAGAAAAAAAACAAAAAAATCCTCAAAAAATGAAAAAAAAGATTGGCTGATTTTCCGTGCATGCGCAGAACGCTTTTCCAGAGTAWAGTCTATTTTTAGAGTATTTAGAAATTTAGTTAAGCTAAATTTAGTAATTTAGTAGAGTACGTAGACACCCATCCACTTTGTGTAACATTACTCCAAAGGTGCAAGTTTGAGTATAAAACGCTTAGTCTTGTTTAGAGTATTAAATAAGCTAAAAGAGAAAAAACCATTCTTTCAATCTTACAATTTTATCATACTTGTGTCTCATATAGACTCTTTTAATAAATCCCATATTGCTCTTTTTTTCCAGAGCTTGAGATCAAATTCACTTTTTCAATAGGACGTTTGCATGATGGCGTCATTGACTCTCTTGCACACTTTAATTAGACCCTATTATCGTACTATTCTCATGAAGGAATAAAAATTTAAATAATAAAGAAAAGTCAAATGAACCCATTACGCAAACGTTCTATGTCATTAAAAAACACAGGGGAAAAGCATTGTGGGATTTATCTAAAGGGTCTATATATGAGTCAGTTTGTCCACTGCGCACCTTACGAGAAAAATATCATATGCYCTTTTTCTCGTATGGGGTGTAGTGGGTTAACAGACTGACATTTCAAAAATAGCTCAAGCTCAATGTGGTATCATAACATGCGCCTGAAGACCAAATCAATGAGGTTTAAAAAACAAATGACCACACCCTCGCTGGTCTAGAGTTTTGCGCCTTTCCCCCTTCTTCGTAACACCGCAGACCGCCGAGCAAAAGATAGCAGTCTCACAGCCATATTTCTTTAGAAATGATTTAATTTCAGTGTTTTATAAAAATACATAAAAGTACGGTAATTTATTCTGGTCATAGAAAAATCAGATTATCTTGCACATACTAGTCCTGCTAGCTTCCCTTTCGTTTCTGTTCTACATTGACAAAAAAATACAAATATACGTATACCAAGGACTGCAGACCAAATTAGTGAGGTTTACAGGTTTAAGTATAAACAAATAGCGATCATGGACTAGTGAGTTGGYGTAWAAGGTAAGATATCAAAATGACAGAYGAATGTCGAACACTCTGTAGGAAGGTTAACTACAGTRGTCCTGTGGGACAGCAATATCGTACCCAGAGCCTGCATTTCTTTTGGCCTGCGGCGAAAAACGACGGTTCTGATATAATCCACTTTTTGGCGCATGCGCAATTTTCCGGWAGTGAATTATAATAAATGAAAATCATGCTTTAAAGTCGGTAACATATTATTTTAATTTTTGGCAAGTCTTTGAGCGCATGCACTTATACCGGAAGACAAAGAAATCCTKGTCCCAAAAAATGGAATATGCCAGAGCCCTCGTTCTTTGCCGCAGRCMAGARGAAACGCAGGCTCTGGGTACGAGATTGGTGAAAAGAATGCACCAGTTTTGCATTTGATTCATTTGCGAAGGCTTAGAAGTCAGCTATTCAGAACCTTGCCTGGTGTTCGGTTAATAAAGGGTGCCCAAACAATCCATATATATGTGATCAAAAGGGAGCCAAAATGTCGGCATGCATTCTAAAGACTGACGTCGGATGTTCGTAATTTATCAATRAAAATAGGTGGGTCAATCACACCAAATTAGGCGTTACTGTCATAAGAAAACTCGGCCCTGTTCCACACATCGGTGATTTTTGTAGTATATGGGAAAAAATTTTGGCACCCATGATTAGCTAAGGGCGTTCGCTTAATAGAGGTACCACTATATTAACCATTTTTAAACGGACGCCATCTTRRAAATATGCCCCCTAAAACAGTCTCACAATGTCTCTGAAATGTCAACTCCATCCAGTTTTTCCTCAACCTTGGAAGGCCTAATATCTTAGTTTCCTATATGTTGAACACTCACACATAAATTGTTCTAGGCTTAGACTTGTTCTCAGCTTATTAACCTCCAACACGCCATTACTAAGTGGTTACATATGCTAGGATTGAACTGTTTTTATAAAATTAATTGTCTATTGCTAATGAAAAAATTAGATTTCACAATTATTTATATCCCTAAATTTGTATTTTTATGAGCCTTCCCCGCAGGCCGCTATGTGGTTTGAGATTTTCTTGACTAYTCCTTAGGCGGGGTTAGCTAAGGTGGCTTCAACTCGCAAACTTCCATCTATAGCCACAGGGATCCCATTCGAAAAAGATACAGATGGTTTGAACGTGAAGCCTTTGGATGGACGCCAAATTTGTTAAGATGATACCCKGCAACTAACTACGATTTACTTTAAACTTTTTCCTAAAAAAGGACTTAGGTGTCATGACAATTTTACCAAACCCTTCTTGGTGTGAAAATGCGTAGTTCGTTCGAACAGATTTTCTTCGCAAGTTGATCTTCGGTCGGAATTCTTTCGGCCTYAACCTTGTGGGTTCCCTGTTTTGCTCCTTTCGTCTGACAGCATCGCTGTACCGAGGACTCACTTCTGCACGCACGAAATTCGTCGCTATTGACGGAAGAGTTGTTACTATGGTAACGAGGACTAAATACAACCAGAACATAGGGTTCCCAAACACATGGTATTGCACTCCATGGTAATGCATTTGAGGGTAATAGGAGAAGACGAATTCGGAGTAGAAGGCGAAATAGAAAATGAAATAGAATAGAATGCTTCCCCAGGTGAAAAAGTGATTAATCCAAGTCCAGTATTGAGTCATTAAACAAATCTAAAAATAAGACCATGCGGAGAAAACATTAGCAAAAAAAGACATTTTGAGAAAAAAAAATTACTATGAAATTCTTTTCTCTGAAAAAGTATCTACCTCGACTGATCTTAAATTGCCCTTTTCAACTCCTTGGATTGCTAGTAGGTGTTTTAGGATTTTCACTGATTCAAAATTTAGCTCGATTTTCTCCTCTGAAAGATTCGAGAAGTCACGAGCCAGTGGATCCTTACGCACATGCGCGAATGTCAAACGCGAGATTRCTGCACTGCGCATACTCAAACAGTTGGCTACAGCGGTCAAAATCAAGTATATTTTTGAGACTGACRATAATACTGATATTATCATATTTGTAACCGCACTGTATAATAAGGCCTACATTGATAACAGTATTTTTTGTAAATTAGCTGAAGGAGTCACCTTATTTAAATAAAGACATCTATATAACTATCTGACCAACTCTTTTTCATAACCTTATTTACGAATGATTAGATGAATTCYTAAGAAAAGCCACTTCAGTGCTACGGTGTGTGGTGCTGTGTACATACTGTAAGTTACTATAAAACCCCCCTAACATTGATGAAGGAATTAACTTGAATAAATTAAGGTTTATCTATCTACTCAAACCGCTCTCTCTCTCTCTCTCTCATATATATATCAAATACATTCTTTATAGACCTTTTCTGAACTAGCGAACACGGTGCATTGTGGTCTAGCTTCTGTACAAACATCATGCCTTATATGGTGTTGTTTGTACTTAATCTAGACCACAATGCATCCTGTTTATCGAACTCGGAAAAGGCCTATGGTGATGTTGAAACCTACCTCAATATTGACCACTATAACAAGCGCCGCTGCAACTACAGTCCCAAAGAACTTGACACTCTCAGTATCCTTGCCATCAACATCTACAGTCTTATGAAACGTACCATAAGCCATAAAGAACAACCCCATGGATGTCAGAGTACCATATATCAAACTATAGCAAAATACGTTTTTGTTGAACAACATGTTCTTTTGGCCTGGGATGTAGAGCTTGGGATACTTTGCACAGCTTTTGTCGCTGACGTCCTGCAGAAGAGTTAAAGATATGACATTAGGATATTATTTRCATATTAATAAGATAGTAAGGACCCTTTTAAATCTGACGTCAAATTTATTYTTYTRAAAATTRTTTRAAAARAATGAAATTGAAAAGAATAAATTTGACGACCAGCGTGGACAATCAAGCGTTGTGGGACAACAACAATCCAAAAGCTCTGGGAAATCTAAAAGCTTATGCATAAAGTTTTATGATGAAACTGACGAAATCGACATCGGACAGTCAATACGTCATTTCCGGTCGTCAATTAACGTCACCCTAACGTCGTAACCCTATTACTGAAGGCTGGTAAAGAGATTCATTAGATGTCTTTTTAAGCATGGGTGTAGGACTCCCCTCTATTGTGTGTGATTTGCGACCTTGATATCTGGCCATCTGAAAAAAAGTTTTTCTTCAATTGAGAATACAGTTCCTTATATCATGTAAACGCCCTGTTCCAACCTCCTTCCTGCGCCATTGTTCTCAAGTCGTTGACCCCAAGTCTCTTCCCTGTCCTCCACTCTCAGTGTTCATAATCGTTAAGTCTCCCTTAATTTCTATGGAACGTACCTGCTCAAAAATGGCAAGGAAAACAATAGGTGCGGACGTGAAGAGAACGTTGTAGAATGATATGAACCATGCATCGTATAACGTCTGAAAATTAAAATWAAAATTAATTAGATTTAATTTTGAAAATCTTAAAAGATCGTCGTCGCCATGAAAATTAGGGACTTTAAGATTTGCAAAATCTGCGACGGCGACGTCTACCGGAAGTGTAAATAACTTCACTTTGAGGCTTTGCGCCTTCAAAGTCTGTCTTTTCTGTGAATGAGTTGACYTTAAAGACAATGTTTTGAAATGAAATCTCCAACGAATAGAACCCCAAAGAGAAGTTATTTACACTTCCGGTTGAAGTCGCCGTCATAAATTTTGCAAATCTTAAAGTCCCTAATTAATGGCCTTAGACGTGGGAAGGTCGAAACTTTCGTTAAAGTCAACCTAAATGGYGGCTATGACGTCATATGCATCCWAGGAATTTGAATAACGATATCTCGTTATAGTGTCCATTCTTGTTACTATTAATGTTGCTATTTTTTGAAGCATTTCTATTTGATGCAATSTAATAACCATTAAAAAAATGACGTCATTTCCAAATTTCTAATAATTGTAATAAAGATAAATTTTTATTTTTTTTTTTCGCACCTGAGCAGAGTATCCAGAAAAAAATGCATACCAAAACTGTACCAATGTGAATGCGAAATTCTTGTAGAAAAAATAGTTGAGAAATTTACACATTCGCATGTACGACCAGCGTCCATGAGTGAGAAGAATACGTTCTAAATATCTGGTACAGAATTAAGGATAAAATAACAACAAAATGCCATGTGCTTCTTCTTCGGAATGTTTCTGGGTTTTATTTTCTTTTTGGATAAAATTGTTGCTGTTGTTTCATGGTATGCATTAAAATTTGAAAATCTGAGGGTCTGTTTTTCCTACTGCTGCTGTTGTCGGGAATCAATGGTGGTGAAGCGGTACTACACTTGTCTCTGGGGTTTTGGGTTTGATTCCCAG